GGTCTCTCTGAGTTGCTTCAGGCCTTACTAAGTTGTTGAGACTAGCTTTGAACTTGCGATCCTTAGCCTCCCAAGCTGCTGTGATTATAGGCGAGCACCACCATGCCTGGCTATAGCCATGTTTTTAAAAGAGGAGAGGACAAAATAATTTTAGTGATAAATTTTATTTAGTTCTCTATATCCAAAATATTTTCAATGAATCATCAACATATAAATACAGTGGTATTGGTGGAAGAAGACATGTACCGCTTTGTGTATCTGACAGAGTTGGGGAAACAGAGAACCAGTGTAATCATCCACCATATATTCTCAATTCTCAATGGCTTGAATGTGGTTTTTCCCCAAAGGAGTCATGTGTTGGAAGCTTGGTCCTCAGAGTTGCACTTAGAGAGGTCATGGAGCTTTAAGATGTGGAACTAGTGGGAGGTTCTCAGGTCACTAGGGACTTTGCCCTCAAAAGGGATTCAGTTAACTCTGTGGGACGCCTGAGTTCTTACAAGAGCAAACTGTTACAAGAGCAAGCTCAATCTTTGAATCATTTCTTTAACCTCCTGTTTCAAAATGCAATCTCTTCTTCGACATGCATTCTGTCCATTGTGATGCCATCCACCATGAGTTCCTCACTAGATCTAAGCTAATGCTAGCACTATCCTCTTGAGCCTTCAGAACTATGAGCTAAATAAACTTATTTACTTTATAAGGTTTGCATGCCTCAGGTACTTTGTTATGGTAACACAAAATAGGCTAATATGTATTATAAATTTTAAAATTACAAAACAGCTTATTTGCATGCTATACAATCAAATATTACTTATTATAATTCCAAACATCTTGGAAATATTTTAAACTACTGTCATAATCCTCTCCATATTCTTTAAGGCAAATATACATCTAAATAAACTACAGTAACAATTTTACTGCACTGTACTTGGGTTGAGGAAAAGGTATTTTCAGATCTGTTTCACTGTTATACTAAACATGATTGTGGTAGCTTTCCCTCCCTCCACATCCTGCCCTTCACACACAATGTCTACTGAAGGCATGGACATAGGCAGTCACACTTGTGTTTTGGTGACCCTGACACTCCTTCCATCTGCTCAGACCACCTGTGGACTCTTGACACAAACTGAACCAATATGATTTTGTCTGGAGAATTTTAAATAAAAGATATAGAAGGTTTAATATAAAGTACTGCAGCTTTGAGTAACTCAGGTACCACACTCAGTCCCATGACAGGTCATAGACACAGGTAGGGAGAAGGTATGGGGAAGGAGAAACTAAGAGTACTGCAGAAGAGGATCAGAGATTAAAGAGGAGCTTTAATTCTCTTATTTCTAAGGTCTGTTTAGTTCTTTGGTTTCCTCCTGTAATGTTATTCCTACTTGTACAAGACTTTTTTTTTTTTAATTACAGCTAGTAAAATAGGTATGTTAGAGCAAGTTTCTTTCCCTTGTAACAAACTTAGAGTAAAAACAGTTGTGTGGGTTTTTTTAGAAACACTCTCAAAAGCAGGCAAAGACCATTCATTTACACACACACACACACACACACACACAAAAAAACAGGTATTATATGTTATATATGTAACACTATTATTGATTATAATTAGTAAGCAAGTTTTATATATAGTGCATAATGCATGAATAATACACATGTGCACAATATACACATGCTCGTGTGTACACGTATGTGTGTATATGTATATATTATATATTTTTATATATAATATATGTGTATATATATGTATAAATATGCTTATATCACTAAGGTCATAGTCTCTGGCATCACACTGCCTGGTTTCAGACTCCAGATATATGTCATTTACTAAATTTGTAATCTTAGGAAAATTATTAGGTTCTCCAAATTTTAGTTTCTTAATTTTTGAAATAGAGACAATGATAATTCCTACCTTATAAGGTTGTTATGAGGATTATAAAATATTTTTTAAAATTCTAAATACAATCACCAAAATATCAACATCTAGAAGTGTTTTCTTTAGATCCATTTAAATTATTTCCAACTATTATACAAAAGGCCCTCTCTGACTCTGCCCCACCCGTTTCCAGCCAGGTAAACTATCTGTACCATTTTAGGTAGAGATGTACTGCTTTAGCTTCTCACACTCAAAATGTTCATATTGAAGTGGCTATGGGCAGGAGGATGAGAGGTTTCCAGCACAGCGTTGACTTCTGACTCTTCTCTAGCCATTATCTTTATTGTGCCTTTTTCTCCGCCTTTCCCCAGGATGAGCATACACACTCAGACCCACACATCTCCTTATTTACTCACACTTTCAAGCTAAGAAATTCAGGAACAAAGAGCAGTAGGAGCTCTTTTTAACCTATCAATGCTTAGACTCCAGCATAATGAAGAAAAGGAAAGTTTTGTGTAGAAATTGTTTCAAATCTGCATTAAGAGGAAAATAAATAATGTAAGTTTCTTAATTGAAGTCATTGCATCCTAAGAGCATCAGCCGTGCAAGACAGCTTTTGGCTTAATGGGATGACCAGCTCTTTTCTCACCAGGAGTAGGACGTCTGCTCTCCTCTGAAGAGCTTCGTTTGAAAAGCATCCTTAGTCAAACTTGCAGAATCATAGCCACAAAAGGTCCATTGGATGAGGATAACCTGGCTCTCCCTGTATTCTAACGTATTGCATTTAACATGCTTACAATAGAAAGTTCAGTATTCACTTTCATTAACAAATGTGTGATATAATTAGATGATTTTCAAACAGTGACTTTATGTCGCTCTACAAAGAAAATTCAGCCTCTTCTGGGCATTTTAAGAGGTTGAGTTTGTCTGGTCCCTGCTCATGTTATTTAACCTTTAATTTTGGGGTTAAAATGGTCTTTAGAAAATGATACTCTAGTGCTGTCCAACACAACTTTTCAGGATGATGGGAATGCTACAGCTGCAATAGTGTAACCACGAGATACATGGGTCTTTTGTGCAATTGAAATATGGCTAGTGCAATAAACAAAGTGAATCTTTAAAATTTTGAAAGAAAATATATTTAAATTTTTACTTAAATAGAAATATGTGGCTAGTTGATACTACATTGGATAGTACAGATTTAATCTATTCTTCTTATTTTATGTATTAGTAAATTGGAACCCCAAAAGGCTAATCAATTTACTAAAGTCATATGGTTTTTAAGAGGCAAAGTCAAGGTTAAATTTCATATATCCTGATTGCTAAAAAATACTGTAGTACTATGCCATATTGTTCTTATGTGTGAATATATATTTGTGAGGGGGAAAATACATTTTTAAAAGAATACTATATTATAAGCAAGGATTGTTTTCTGATTAACAGGAATGTTCTGATACCTAGAACAGAGATGGCACTTATTAGGTGCTTATGAAATATTTGTTGAAAAATGAATGCCTGAGCAAACAGTCACAAGATGTCAAAATGATCAGCTATGTGATTAAACTGGCCTTGATGAAGATAGGGACTAGATCTTGTTCACTGTCTATCCTAAGCACCTGGAACTTGGATCCATATCAATATTTAAGTAATTTCTTGAAATTGTTATGACATGGTGATGTCTTTATCACATACCACAAAACTTCCTTTTGATCAGAGGCATGACCTGTTTCTCCCTGTAACCACATTAAAGCCTAGGACCATCATGGGTTAGCTGGGTTAACATCTCAGTCCTTCAATCACATGGTTTTGTAGCTTTAAAAAAGCTCCTTCAGTTCATTGGGCAGGGCTAAAACGAAAGGCTGAACTGGCCAATCTCCAGTTTAACTCTAATATTCTAAGGTTAATTTTCCCCCCACACCTCTGCCAAAAAATAATATTAAGAATACTTTTATAAAACTCCAGATTAGCTCACCAGTTTTTAAGTGTTCTCCTAAAGCTTTTAAGTGTTCTCCTAAAGAGTTTTTAGTTCTCCTAAAAACTCTCATTTTAGGGGCTGAGGTTGTGGCTCAGAGGTAGAGTACCTGCCTAGTATGCGTGAGGCACTGGGTTCGATCCTCAACACCACGTAAAATTCATGACGGAGCCCAGACACAAAGCTGAGTTACACAGAGCAAACGTTTTCATCATCTAGACAAATAGAGGTAAAATGTAAAAAACAGAGAACTTAGTAGGACATAAAATGATGTGATAGCAAAATGTTTTGACCCATGCAGCTAAATGCAGAATGTATCTAGATGATTCTTTCAGTTTCAGAATATTAGAATATGGAGGGTTATGTGATGGTACCTTAGCATAGGACAGACCAACTACCCATTGGTTAAAACATTTTCTGCATATCACCAATAAGTTTTGCTGACTCATTGTTTCTCCTACCTTGACAAAGCTATAAAATTCATCATAGCCAGCAAAGTCTGTTTCTTCAACAACTTTGGACATTTACTTATTGTTTTTATGCACTGCCTACCACCACACCACAACTCAAGTTGTCTTTAAACTAGAAATAATATTAATAATTCATTTTATTCTTTGTTTATTGTGAGTTAGGTCTTAAATTTTTTTCACAATTAGAAAGTGGTGACAATCTGAAGTCTGAAAGGAAAGTTGGGTCAACTGCATGCATGGAGGCTTTGTACTATTGTCTTTGTGGTTTCTAAGATTTCTTCTAGGGTAGCTAATTGGTAGCAATTCAAATGTGAGACTAAAAAATAACTTAAGTTCTTTTGTTTAAAGCAATGTGAAGAAAGGGCAAAAACATGTTTTCAGAATAGGTAATAATGTTTATTTCTCCATGGCTTTGAATACAATGCTTCCTCTTTTGTAAGTGAGTTCCTTCCCTTCTCTACCTATAAAGCCCTATGTATCCTTTAAAACCAAGCTCAGGCATTACCACCTGTGATGGATTGTTTACAAAATTTTCCTCCTTCACTCACCCCTTAGATGGTCACCTCTCACACTTAACTCTTGGCTTGGCCAAATGACATTTGGGCTAATGTAAAAGTAGAAAGTGTGACTTAAGCAGAGAATTCAAAAGTTATTACATGTTGAAACTTTCCCTTTCTGCTTTTAGACTCAGCAACCATGTAAAAAAACAAAAAGCCACGCTGCAATAGGTTGGCAACATGTGGACCGACCAATTGCTCCTGTCTCTCCAGCAACCCATAAGAGGGAGGCCATTCAAAAAGAACCAGGCTCCAGGTGACATGCCAGCTGAATGCAGCCACATAAGTGAGTCTACAGGAGACCAAGAGTTCCGTATGTCCTACCAAAGTTGCCAATGTATATAATTATGAGCCAATTAACAATTACAGTTTTAAGAGACTATGCTTTGGAGTAGGTTGTTAGAAACAAAGATTAACTGACATAAAACGTGACATAAAAAAGTAAATGTTGTCACAACAAATATCTAAGATATGTGACACTTGTTTTAGGACTAATGTCAGAGATGGAAACGCAGCAGACCAGGGCTGCTAATGAAGATCAGAACAATAGCTGGAGAACTGTTAGCAAAGGCTGGAAAAATGTTGAACAAACTATTAGTGGAGACTGGAATAGCAGTAGGTAAAGTGCTAAAGCAGGCTAGGAAAATGGTGACTCATGCTATTTAGTAATGAAACAATTGGTAAAACTGTCACCTGGGGGTGCCTTGGAAAATAGAAAATATACCTAATAAATTTGTGGAACTGACTAAGGAGATTTCCAAGCAATGCCAACTGTTTTCTGCTAGTGATATATGAGAAAGTACGTGCTAAAAAGGGAATTATTCTGTTTGTACATAAAATTTAAAAAGACAATGACCTTTATAGAGGGCAGAACTTTAAGAATATCAAACTGCACTGCATTTTATTCAATTTTTATGTGTTTTAAATTCAGTGCTAATATGTACTATCCTTGGGCTTGCAAGTTCTGAGTCTTTTACTCCTTCAACCGTGATATTTTATTGGAAAATTAATGCTAATCTCTGAGGCTACAGATGAGGCACCTACAGCTAAGAAATATGCCCAATCACATAAGAAAGAGGAAAGTCAATATTTGGTCCTGAACTATCTGGCTTCAAAGTTAGCATTCTTTGCTTCCTTCCTGTTTTCCAAATTCTTTCAACAAGGAAAGCTTTCCAATTTGCAGTGAGTTTATTTTTTTTTTAACTTGAAATAGAATTTGTATACCATAGTTTCATTTGTAAGGATTCTCAAAAAAAAAAAAAATACACAAGAGTTTCACAGGACTGAATCTTTTTAACATTCAAGATGGGTAATAAGATGATACATTATGTATGAGGGGCTAGAATCTGCCTTCCACTTTTGTAATTGTAATAGAGTGGAAATGATGGTGACCCAGCAGCTTGTGCTCTTGAAGGTGGACTTGCTCTTTGATATCTGACCCGGAATGATCTCCTGGCACATCCCCTGCTGCTTCTGGCTTAGCATCTTCCTCTTCTTCTGGATAAGCTTTTTTTCCCCTCTCTTTTAATTCTGAAAATTCCCATTTAGATTAATGAAATGAAATTTTCCCTGGCAGGAGAACAAGGAAGAAATGGATTTTTTACAACAGGAGAATATAATATTAAACCTACTTAGGGAGGGAGGAATACATTCAGCTTAGATAATTGTTCTTTTTTACCTCCGCCACAAAAGAAAGAGATCTCTATTCTTGGAATAATTTATGTGTTATTTTCCTTGGAATTGGAGAACATAGATGATAAATTTTTCGTTAAGTGCTTTATTCTCTGAATTTCTACATTAATTTCCATTCTCATGGGATATAGAAAAGAAAATTCTTCACCTCTTTAAAAGCAAATGAGTCCAATAACAATTAGGCCTCCCTCAGTGGCCTTCATGCCTGGCAGAGAAAAACATTAAGAATATAAAACCATGCTGTATTTTATTCAATTTTTAGATTTTTAAAATTCAATATTAGTTTACACTTACCTTGAGTTTGCAAATTCTGTGTCTTTTTCTACTTCTGCCTTAATCCTTTACTAGTAAATTAATGCTCAATAAATACATTTGATGTTTTGTGATTTATCAGACATCTTAAATATTGTGGAAGAAAGAAAAAGCACAACTTCATAGCTTATAATAGTATTTATTATCAATATAGTGCAGACTTTCTCAATACAGGCACTATTTGTTGTCATTCTGAGTAAAAAGATAATTCTTCATGTGAGACTGCTCTGAGCATTGCATTAGTTTATCACCCTGGTCCCCAACACACTAAATGCCTGTAGAGTCCCACGATTCTTACAATAAACAAAAATGTCCATACACATTTACAAATACCTTTTGTGCATAAGTGGTCTTGTCCCTGGTAGAGTGAAATTCACTGGTGTAATGTAAGTTTGAGAAATCCAGACTTTTCCCCTTCTCCCCTCTAGATTATTCCCAAGTAATTATGAGAGTTTCTAGGGGACATCTCATTGGTGTTCATCAAACAATCTTTTCAACTCACATTGGTCATTAAGTTTCAACACCTAAATTTTCAAGACACAAATCCAAGGCATAACACTCCTCAAACCTACTAAAAGTCTTTTTAACTTCTTAATTTGTGTGTGTGTGTGTGTGTGTGTGTGTGTGTGTGTGTGTGTTTGTGGAGGAATCAGTAGTATGGTATGTATTACAGGTTTGAAGTAATCTTTGACTCTTTCCTATTTCCTACTAGATACTAATATGGTAGTAATCACTTTCAATGACCTAATGTGTCTTTAATGTCATTGATTCCTTTATAATTTTTTTCACGTTGCTAAATTACATTCCCTTCACATTGCCATGACACTTTCATGGTCTTAAAACTAGATTAATCAATTATGTGGTGGTTCAGTTTCTTCTTGATATATTCATTCATTCTACTAAAACTAGCAATGAATTTACTGTTGAACTATGAACTACAGCTTTTGTACCTATGTGGCTAAGAATTCTTGGTGTCATTCAAATCACCAATATTTATGAAATATGTGTTATGTGCCAGATTTTGCTCTCCCTTTTTTGCTTGCTTTTTTAAAAATCCTTTTTTTATTTATAAAAAGTTTTCTGACCTCTTCAATTTATACTGTCTTTTCCTTTCTCTGAATATTTATCCCACAATAAGCATTCCACCTTACAGTCAGAACTACAAAATTTGGAGTCATAGTATCCATTGTTTCCGCAACATATTATAAATCTTTAGAAAATCAGAATTGTATTTTGCTCCATTTATATATTTTCCATGATATTTAGAATAGAATAGAACTGAGTACATAATAATTGGGGGGGGTGCCAGAGATTGAAATCAGGGGCACTTGACTATTGAACCATATCCCAAGGCCTATTGTGTATTTTATTTAGAGATAGGATCTCACTGAATTGCTTAGTGCCTGGCTTTTGCTGAGGCTGGCTTTGAACTCTCAATCTTCCTGCCTCAGCCTCCTGAGCCACTGGGATTCAGGCACGCATCACCACACCTGGCTCGTAATAATTCTTATTAATTGATTTTACTAAAATCTCAGTTTCTCCCAACATAGATAGACCTCATTTTACAGCCACCTGGGATAAAATATGTAAGATCTATATCCACTGATATTAGCGGGTTTCCTATACAATGTGATGTGATGTCTCACATTTTTAGAGAAAATGAGATCTTGCTAATTAATTTTTTTAAGAATTGATGTAACTGATTTAAACTCGTTCTTTGACTTCTCAGCACTTCTTTAAAATCAGTCTATATTATAGAAAAAATGTAATTATTAAAGTAAGTCTACAGAAAAAGCTGATAGAACTGGATATAATTGGAAACCCAGAAGCATGGCTCCATCTAAGTCTGAAGGCTCCTGAGCCAGGGAGGCTGATGATGTAATTCTGTCTGGGGACAAAGGCCTGAGAACCCAAGGAGGGGGCTGCTAGTGTAAGACCCCTTGTATCTGATTCTGATGTTCAACAACAGGAGAGGAGGAATGTGTTCCAGCTTCCAGAGTCAGACAAATTCATCTTTTCTCTGGTTTTATTCTCCCCAGATCCCTGGTCAATTGGATAGCTTGAGATGGATCCACACTGAGATGGATCCAAGCCCACCCACATTCACACATTAATTTCTGGAAACATCCCCAGAAACATACCCCAAAATTATGCTATGCTTGGTTTCTAGGTATTCCTAACACAGCCAAATTTGTAAGTGATATTAACATCATAGTGTGGAAGAAATATGTAATTTAACAAATAATGCCAAAAAATTAGTTTTCTATGTGAATCAATATCATAACCAAAAATAAATTCCTAATGGATTAAAAACATCTAACTTTTAAAAATTTCTAAGGAAAAATATAATTTACCTTTGCAACCATGTATTACTAAAGGATTTCTTAACAAAAAGAGACAGAATATATAAAATAAAAACTAGATAAATAAAACTGTGTCAAAGTAAACAACTTGTTTTTTTTTTTGACAATGTTAAAAAAGCAAGTCATAAACCAGGAGAATATATTTTCAACACATCAGTTAACACAAAAAATAGCATTCTGTATTATTTTAAAACTACAATAAAAAGACACACAAACCAATAGAAAAATAGGTATACATTGCATAGAAGTGGAAAAACCAATGACTAGTAATAGATAAAAAGATGTTCAT